CTCCACAGAAGTTTGCCGACGCTTTGTCACGGTCACTGGGGCTGGACCATTGCAGGGTCTGAGGTTAGATCTGTGCACCCTCTTCAATGTACCTCCTTCAACAGGCTCCACGGTGTACGTCGTTCCTTGAACCTCTAACACCTTGTACATTGTTGAAGACCACGCGTCCTGAATCTTGTTTCTTCCTAGTGGCCGGTGTCGTAGGTACACATGTTGTCCAATCTCTACATCAGGGCAAAACACCTTCTCCTCATGCCGCGCAGCTCGTTCCACAGCCTTCCTTTCCGCATATTCCTTTGCTCGAACATGGGCATCTCGGAGGCGTTCCTGGTGTACTTTTAACCAATCATGTTTGTCATCGGTTACAGGCTCCTGGCCCAACAGTGCATCAACTGGCAGATGTGGCTGGATCCCAAACAACAGATAGTATGGTGAGTATCCTGTGGATGAGTGTGGTGTCACATTATATGCATAGACCAGCTCTGACAAGTGTTCAGGCCACCTGCGCTTCCTTTCGGGTGGAAGGGACTTCAAGAGATCATGAAGGGTTCTATTGAACCTCTCACATTGAGGATTTCCCTGGGGGTGATGCGGGGTCGTGCGCGTTTTCTTGACTCCATATAACTTGCAGAGTTCCGCAATCACAGCACTCTCAAAATTCCGGCCCTGATCAGAGTGCAAGCGTTGCGGCACTCCATATTTCAGGAACCACTCCCTGAGGAGAATCTTGGCAGTGGTCTCCGCCTTCTGATCACGGGTGGGAAATGCTTGACTGAACTTTGTGAACACATCTGTCACTACAAGAACATTTTCTCGCCCATCCGTGGCTGGTTCAAGAATGGTGAAGTCCACTGCTACAACCTCCAAGGGACGTGTGGCCAAGAATGAAACCCAGGGTGCCTTGACTTTTGGTTGCGGCATCTTTGCTAATACGCAGCGTTGACATCGCTTTACCCACTGTTCCACATCCTCATACATTCCTCCCCAGAAACATCTCTGTCTCAGCAGGCCTAAGGTCCTCTCTATACCCTGATGACCCATCTGATCGTGGACACACTTTAAGACTTGATCTATCAAACAGGTGGGTAACAACAGCTGATGACATTCTCCAACATGGACATCATTTATTACACGGTATAACAGACCATCCTTTTCTCTTATCTTTGGCCACTGCTTCAACAGGGATCGTACAGCTGTGGCCAGACCCATCCTCTCTTGCTTGGTAGGTTTCCTTTGCCTGCTCCAGAACTTCTTGAACACACTTAGTGCTGGATCAGACTCCTGGAACTGACGAAGTTCTGACTCTGAATACCCGGGCAGAGTGGGGGTATTCTCACACTCAATATCCTCTTCTCCTGCTGTGGTTACCTGTAACTGCCTGACTTTGCTGCACTCAACTCCTGCTGCCAACAGGTCTGGTCCCAGAGCTGTTCCTGTCCTGAGCGAGTTACAGATTGCCACGGAACCATCAAATTCGGCGTCTTCGCTTGCAGAGTCTGGTTCATCTAATCCTGGTCTCCTCGAAAGAGCATCAGCCGCAGTGTTACACCGTCCAGGGCGGTACTTGACTTCAAAATCGAACACAGCGAGCTGGGCAACCCAACGTTGTTCGCAGGCCCCTAACTTGGCAGTTGTGAGGTGGCAGAGGGGATTGTTGTCTGTTATGATGGTGAATTTGGACCCCAGCAGATAACTTCTGAACTTTTCAGTGACTGCCCACTTTAATGCTAATAGTTCCAGCTTCATGCTGCTGTAGTTCCGATCATTTTTCTCAGCCCCTCTTAATCTCCTACTGGCATAAGCCACTACAACCTTCTTGCCGTTTTGTTGCTGATACAAGACCGCTCCCAACCCCAGGTTGCTCGCATCTGTCTCAATCACAAAGGGAAGCGTGAAATCAGCATAACCAAGTGTGGGTGCCCTGGTAAGTCGGTCCTTAAGGTGCTCAAATGCCGCTTGACACTGAGGAGTCCAGATGCTCTTATACCGCTGAACTGCCTTGGCGTGGCTGGTCTCTTTAAGGCACAAGTTCACCACATCGTGCAACGGTCCAGCTATCTGGGAGAACCCCTCGATGAATCTCCGTTAATAGCTACAAAACCCCAAGAACGATCGGAGTTCCTTGAGAGTGCCCGGGACTGGCCACTCCCGGACTGCGCTTATCTTATCGGGGTCTGTGCTCACGCCTTGGGGTGAGACTTGATGGCCCAGGAACTTCACTTCAGGCTGAAGGAAATGACATTTCTCCATCTTTATCTTCAGTCCAGTTTCCCTTAATCTTCTTAACACAGTTTCCAGCCTCACCAGGTGTGTGTGAAAGGTGGACGAATACACCAACAAGTCATCCAGGTAGACGAGCACAATCTGAAACACCAAGTCACTCATGACAGCCTGCATGAGTCTCTGGAAGGTTGCAGGCGCATTACACAACCCGAAAGGCATCCGCCGGTATTCATAGAGGCCAAACGGTGTGATGAATGCCGTCTTCGGTCTGTCATTTTCATGGACCGCCACTTGATGGTAACCGCTAGCAAGATCTATTGTGGAGAAAACTTTTGCTCCTCCCAACGCATCCAAGCTCTCATCAATGCGCGGCAATGGAAAAGCGTCACGCTTAGTCTTCGAGTTTAGTCTCCTATAATCCACGCACAGCCTTAGACTTCCATCCGACTTGCGTACCAGAACGATGGGTGAAGCGTAAGAACTCGAGCTTTCCTGGATGACACCCTTCCTGAGTAAACCTGAGATATGCTCCTTAACCTCTTCAAATTGAGTCGGCGGTATTCTGCGATATGGCTGAGCAACGGGAGCCTCATCCGTCAAGTGGATCTCGTGTTTCACCCGATCTGTATATCCTAGCTCTTCATCACAGGATGCAAACACATCGGCATACTTCAAAAGTAGCACTCCCAGGCTTGCTTGCTGTTCCTGTGTACCTCCTATATGTAGTCGACTCAACAGATTAGAAACATCAGTACCAGACTCTGGTTTGTCTTTCTGATTGACCATCACTTCTTCGTGATCAGCAGAGATACGCTGGAATCTCACCTGACAAGCTTCACTCTCAACACACTGACAGTGGGTAAGTATTCCAAGTGGGACTTTAGGTGGCAGCCAGACATCTTCTTGGGAGAAGTTGACCACTTGAACTGGAAACACTCGACTTCTGGACGACACCAAAGTGGGCATGGGAATCAAACCACCTGGTAATGGGGTGTTTCCTGGTTCCAGCAAGAGCCAAGCGTTAACATCAGGGGTTCTCTTGTTTACTCTGGCATGAACAGTGGCTATAGAGGATGCTGGAATATGGGTTTTGCCCCGACAACTAACTCTGGCTGTTGACATTGTCTTCCCTCGTTCATCTTCCTGTACACGGGTGAAGGCTTCTCGCCAAACAGAGTCCAACTTCCCTCCTAATGTGGTGTCAAACTCAGTCAGTGCTAACTCTCTGCATCTCTGGGTGATGTTCATGCCTATGATACCGGGTGGAGTTGGATCCGGCTCCGCAGCTTCCACATCTCTGACTATCAGGAAACCACACTCCGGTATAGTTAGCCCCATCACTTGGATGTCCAATTCAACATATCCCAGGTACGGCAGGGGTAACTTGTTCGCTGCAGTTATCCTTAGCCACTTAGAGGTGCAATGAAGGTCCCCGTCCTCTCCATGTAGGTTTTCTCTAAAGAAGCTTTCTGTTAGGGTACTCACATTACTTCCTGTGTCTAGCAGACATCTTACTGGGACACCCCCAATGCAAATATCAACTTCAGGGCACCTGCCAACAGCACGCTCCAAGAACCGTTCTTTCGTTAACGTACTGCATCCCGAGCCTTCTGGTTTCCCTCGCATTGCTCGGCTCACCGCAACGGAGGGACACCGTTTCCCTGTACCGTAGAACTCTGGGTGGCAGTGGGTTGACCCTTGAAACCACGAGGTGCAGGACAATGTCTAGCTATATGTCCCACTCCTTCACACCTCAAACAGATAGGTTGGCCATCATCTGTATACTTGGGCTTGACTCTGGGATTGCCAATCGTGTTACCACTCGACCCAACCTTCTGTACAGTGAGTTCACGGACCGCATTAGTGAGTTCTCCAATCGCTTTACCCTGCTGAGTGATTATCTTGACTACCTCCTGCAGAGCCCCAACCATGTCACTTTGTGCAGAACTGACCGGATTTGAAGGTTCTGACATCCCTTCGGAACATGTACTCATGATGTTTCGACTCCTGGCCACATTAGCTCCACGGGGTCGGTCCTCCACAGCCCACATCATGGCCTCCTCACGGACGTTAAATAGGGTAGACTGAGGCTTTTCTCTGACAAGCTTGCGCAGCTCTCTACGTAGGGTTGTCTCTTATGCCTTCGATAAACTGATCTCTTAATGCGAGTTGGGGGTCAGACACAGCATTATTAGACTGCTGGAGAGCAAAGTTAAGAAGTTGGGAGAGAGCATGAGAAAAGTCACGGATGTCTTCCCCCTCTAGCTGTCTACGTGCATAGAAAGCATGCAACAACTGTGGGGTAGTGCGTTTCTCCCTAAAGGCCCCCCTCAAATATGAAAACAGATCACTGGGTTGTTTGGTCTCCCCCCCATACACAGTTTGACTTCGTCTAAGGCTGAACCTCTTAAATGGGAAAGTATGAAATCCAACTGGTCATCAGTATTCAACCCCCTTACCCGAATTACACGTTCAACCTCGTCAATGAACTCATCTACAGATTGACCATCTTTAACATGATCACCACTGAATGGCAAAATTTGACGTTCCCTTGGAATATAAACATACGACCTAGTAGCATTATTCATATTAGCCAGGGTTGACATTACTTGGTCGTGTCTTCGACCTAACTCCAGAATTTGTGACTTCAGTTCTGCTACAGGATTACCCTCATCCTCATGACCCGCAGCCCCAGCATGGTCCACGTCCCGGCTGGCTCCAGCCCGAGCAGCTGGCACATCGTCGTCCTGGTCCATGCTCTTGCAATGTCTATTTCTAATGGCTCTGAGTCAGAAACAGTCACAGTCAATGCCAGCCAACCTGAAAGGCCAATTCGTTGTCGACGATTAGGCACCCGTCTGCGTTCCCAAAGCTGGTCCCTTGCTTCTCCGCAGACCCTCCAGGCACGTCACACTCCACACCGTCGAACTCCCAGGCGTCAGCACACGACCAGTTTCTCCCACTACCGTTGTCTATGTTTTAGTGCTATCCTATCTACACTAGCAATGGAACCCCACTCCTGGTACCAAAATTCTCTGTGGCCCGGTGTGAATATTAGTGACAACACTAGACACAGGGATTTAAATTATCTGTGGGATCGTTTATTCCAGACTGCACTTGAAACAGCGCAGCGTTAACTATGCAAATATGTGATACTAGACAAGAAAGCTTGTTACATTGGTTGGAATCAATAAAGATATTTTGTTATCAACTCTAGTCTCTCTTGTCTTTCTGTTCTCAGTCACCACATTAACAAATAAACTACTGGAATCTAATTAACATAGACAACGATAGTGGACTCGTATTCTGAAAAACACATACACAGATTGTTACAAGATTTGTCAACACAGAATACCAAATAAAGCTGCTTATCTTACATAAAAGATGCATGAAAAAATGTAAAAATGAAGTTACATTTCCAGTAACATTAATACATTCTAATCATTACAATGGCTAACATCCACTAAATATAAATCACTCTTGAATTAACATTCTAATATTCCACAAAGAAATAATTAAATGACTCTTATTATAATAATCAAATTAAACTTACTGTTCATCAACACACTTTATAGCATGTACACACTGTCACATTGAATGCTGAACTCAATTCTCCTTCTGAAACAGCAATAAACACAGTATAACACTTATTTAACAACAGATTGCCATAAACACACGTATAAGCAGCAAACACTTTTTTAGGATTAATTAATTAACAACACTCACTCTGTTGCTTCACACTCGGCCTGGAAACACTCAGGAGCCTTAAGAATACTCCTCTCCCCTCTTTAATCAACCAAAATGATCACCAATCACTTAATGTTTAGATTACATCATACACAACAAAATATTCTCAATAATAAACTGACATTAGTTATGATTAATCACTCACGCTTCGAGATTTATTGTCGATCGGATTTCTCCACATAGGTATGCATCTCGAGTCGACAGAATTTCAAAGTTCCCTCAGCACAACACACAATCCTCACAACACACACAGAGAGACTTCCAAGTTACTATATGTGCTTTTTTGTTATTTTAACAGTAACATCTGCGTCTAATGGCCTCAGCACTCCACCGCATGAGCCGCACTTCAAATCACGTTGTGACCACGCGCTGTACACAGCAGAATCTCGCGATTCTTCCAGAATGTCACACATCGCGTTTCTTAAAGGGCTAGCGTACTATTCCATCAATTAATGAGAAAACCCTGGAACAGTCTGTGGTGTAACTTCCCTTATCTAGAGCATTAGTTAACCAGTACAGTAATGGTTTGATAACTTTTTGACCTGGTTACAT